ATTGGGACCATACAATATTTGTCTTTTGTGATTAACTTATTTCACTCAGCATAATGTCCTCCAGATTCATCTATGTTAAAAAACGTTTCGCAGACTCCTCATTATTCTTTATAGTTTGCATAGTATTCCATTGTATATACGTACCACAGTTTGTTAATCCATTCATCTGTTGATGGGCACTTGGATTGTTTCCATCTTTTTGCTATTGTGAATAGTGCTGCAATGAACATGGGTGTGCATATGTCTACTGGTGTCACTGCTCTTATATCTCTAGGATATATACCCACCTAGGAGTGGGATTGCTGGATCATAAGGTACTTCTGTTTCTAGCTTTTTGAGGAAGTGCCATACTGTTTTCCGTAGTGGTTGTACCATTTTACAATCCCACCAGCAATGAATAAGAGTTCCTCATAGAGTTTTCTAGACTGTAATCTTTATGGGAGCAGATCACCAGGCCTATCTCCTGAGGAACTGCTGGATGGGTTCAAATTGCCAACCTTATATTCACATTTGCATCTCATGGTCATAAACCCAGGCATCTATGAGGCCCATGCACATAACATAAATGAGGGTGGCAGGCTGTGTGGGAATTGTGGTGAACAGGGGAACACCCATCCCCACTTCCCACAGCCCAAAGGAAGGAGCTGCTGACTTGGCGTGGCCAGACTGTGCCATTGGCTCAAAGGAAGCAAGTGTGGATTTTTGCATGTGAGATTTCTAGAAATGTAAATATTTTTAGGAAATATTTGAAAATTTAAGGAAATGCACCCGAGGGCCATATGTAGCCTGTAAACCACCAGTTTGCAACACAGACACTTTGGGCTGGAATTCACTCTGAAACTTCAAGCTCCAGGGCACACTTTCTGGTGGATGAGGAGATCCTTCTGTGTCAATGGCATGGTTTGGTATGGCTTTGCCCGGGAATGGGAGCATGGCTTTGAAATTTCACCTCATTCGAGTGTCTTCAGAGTCCCTGGGTAGTGCAAACAGTTAACACACTTGGCTGCTAACAGAAAGGTTGGCAATTAGAGTCCACCCTGAGGCACCTCGGAAGAAAGGCCTGGAGATCCACTTCTGAAAAGCCATCCATTGAAAACTGGATAGAGCACAACTCTACCCTGACACACATGGGGTCACCATGAGTTGGAGTCCACTTGACAGCAACTCGTTACTGGTTAGAATAGTTTCAGTAATTGTCCTTCCATCCCTTCTTCCCTTGCTGTGTCTAAATTTGATGTCTGGTGTAGATCTTTTTGTACATGTGGGCCCTCAAGCCCTGACTCACATCTCCGTTCTGCCTGTGCAGCAAGACACTTAATTTAGTTACCTTATGATAAGCTTACCACCCTCTCATCCTTTGACATTCGATTTTGAAGTTACCCTTTTAACTATGAAAAATTCTTGCAAACGTTCTGCTTGGCTTGTCCCCCTTAGTGGATGGCAAGTTTCTGGAGAAGGGTGGCCACACTCCGGCTTTGTTCTGGTGAACCCCAGGTGCCTTACGTAATGCTGTGCCTGTGGGATCTGCGCCGTAAACATTATCATTGGCAAGAATAGCGAGACCAACTCTCGAGTCTTTATTTTCTCTTCCCAGTATGGCCGAACCCCTCTACATCTCGCAGCCAACAACGGGATTCTGGATGTGGTCCGGTACCTCTGTCTGACCGGTGCCAACGTGGAAGCCCTCACCTCGGTGAGTATGGCCTGAGTGCCTTTGTTAGGAGAAAGTGATCAAAAACTTTTTATACCTCAAGGGCAAGAGGGGAAAGGTATTGCTTGGCAACTGCATTCTAACTGCATTCTAAAACAGACAGGCTGCTATTAAGCTTTACCTCCTCCACTGCAGTTACATAAACATTTGCCCACACAAACCCTGTTTAATATCTAGTTAATGTTTCATCCTCTTAGTTCTGCAGGCCCTGCTCTGCCAGGAAACCCTGCAGTTTCCCACAGACCTCTTGATTTGCCTTGTTACACAACAGTGCCTTTGCATTTTTTATTAAATGTTTGTGTTTTCTTTTCCTAGTGCTCCCATTTCCCTCCAGGGCACTGGGGGCTCCTGTTTGCTTTAGGGAGAGCTGTAATGGAGTGGCTTTTGGTGTGTGGGGAGCAGTGTCCGTATGTACCTGCAGGGCCAGGCAGCCCTGCCGCTCCTTGGCACAAGAGCTGCCCTTTCTTAAAAAGCCCAGCTTTGCTCTTAGGCCTGCAAAATATATTTAAATGCACTTTCTTCAGTTCCCTTGTCCCTCTCCCCCGACTCCCCTTTCTAGACCTCCCTGCAGAAGAAACTTTTTGACTCACATTCCATGAAATGCCAAAGAAGGAAAAAATGTTGACTAATAAGACATGGTTGCAGTTTTATTGCTGCAGTGAAATAATATAATTTGAGTTGTTTCTGGCCCAACTGTGGGCTGACTTCATTCTCCAGACACCCATGTAGGAGAACAAGAAGTGCCTGAAACTCGCAGATTAGAGCTTTGCTGACATAACATGTTTCTCTAAGGAGATCACTTGGTGTTTTAAAAGATGAAGGCCAACCTTGGGAAAACCAGGGCCCTGAGGTTGGAGGTACAGCCTCATTTCTTGGAGATTGATAGGTCGGCAAACTGTGTCCCAGGGGCCAAAACTAGCCTGCTTCCTGTTTTTGTAAATAAAGTTTTATTGGAACACAGCCACACCCATTTGTTTCTGTATTGTCCATGGCTACTTTCTTGAGTAGTTGCGACAGAGACCGTATGGCCCACAGAGCCTAAAATACTTACTATCTGGTACTTTACAGAAAATTTTTACTGGCCCCTGATGGCTCCACTAATGTTATTTTGATGTCATCCTCTCCAAAGTAACAACTTTGCTTTCTGCAGTGTAGAGCCCAGAGCTGTGGTTTCCCTGCAGGCCCAGTTCCTACCAGTACTGGACATGGGGTTGCTCCCCTTTTTAAGGCACTTCCGCATCCATCACAACCGCACACACGCAAGGCTGTGCAAAGACCTGCCTTGCCAGATGGTCTATTACAGTGTTAAATCCTGCCCAAAGTCCTTGGCACAGGACTTAGTTACTTCGTCATAGAGAATTTATATGCATTTTTATGAGGAAAGATTTTTTTTTTTTCTTTTGGTGACATATGTTACCTCATAAAAAATTAACTAGAAAAGACAAAACTATAGAGACTGTGAAAAGAACAGCGCTTGCCAGGGAAGAGGGGAAGCGAGAGGGATGCACAGGGCATTTTTAGGGCAGTGGAACTACACCTTCTCCTCACTTATCAGCTGTCTCATCATCTGACATTTCTTATTTACAACAATAGTAAAAAATCTATTATCTGACTATTTTGCACATTAGCGATATATGTCTGGCAGTAATGAATGCCAAGGTGCGAGGTGAGAGTAACACTGGCTGTGATGGTTAAGGTTATGTGTCCACTTGGCTGGGCCATGAGTCTCAGTGGTTTGGCAGTTATGTAATGATGTCATTTGGCAGTTATGTAATGATGTAGTCTTCCTCCAATTTGTGATCTGCTGTGGTCATCCTCCATTTTTGCCTAACAGCGATTTCACATAATGACGTAGTCTTTGGAACCTAACTATGTCAATAAGTGAGGAGAGGGTTATTCTGTATGATACTGTAATGGTGGATACATGACATCGTGCATTTGTCAAAGCCCTTAGGGCTGTGCAACACGAAGAGTGAACCCGGATGTAAACTATGGATTTTAGTTACTAATAATGTATCAGTATTGGTTCATCAGTTGTAACAAATGTACCACAGAAATACAAGACGTTAATTATGACAGAAACCGTGTGCCTGGGGGAGGGGATATATGGGAACTCTTGGCTTTCTGCACAATTTTTCTGTAAACCTAAAACTTCTCTAAAATAGTAGACCATTAAAAAATAAAACAAAAATAAATAAGCTATCAAGGATGGCTTTGAAAACACCAGCTGACTCCTGCCCAGCAAAGCAGTGCAGGTTGAGGCCACTAAGTTGTGTGATCCCCAGGGTCCGTGAGTCCCCAGAGCTGCCCAGTGACCTTCTGTGAGCCCATGCTCATCTCCCTCTGCCAGCTATTTCTGACCTTCACCATGGTTCTTTGCAACCACCTATCCCTCCTCCTCAAGAAGTCCCTTAAGTGTATCGTCTCGCTCTCTCACATCATGTACTATCCTTCCCATCTCAGTAGAGGCACTCTTCCTGCTTAAGAAGGGTGTTCCTGCAGGTACTGGGGAGTCTGCCTCATGGAGCCCCACTCATATACTAATGCATTTATTCATTCTACAAATAGGGAGCACGTACTCTATATACCAGGCACTGGGCTAAGTACAGGGAATACAGTGGGGAGCAAGATAGGCACAGGCTTAGAGTCTAATGGGAGAGAGATGTGGACTAAAGACCCACAACAGTCGCTACATTATTACTAAATGGGATACATGTGGAGCCCTGGTAGCACAGTGGTTAAGAGCTTGGCTGCTGACCAAAACATGGGCAGTTCAAAGCCATCAGCCACTCCTTGGAAACCCTATGGGGCAGTTCTACTCTGTCCTATAAGGTCGCTATGAGTCAGAATCAACTCTATGGCAACAGGATTGGTTTGGTCTGGGATACACGTGGCGAAGGGAAAGGACAGGGTGCTGAGGAGGCTTACAACGGGGTCGGGGAGCACTCCTACAGGAGCTCTATTTTACCTGAACGTTGAAGGATGAGGAGTCATTAGGTTGGCAAAGAGTATGAAGAGCATGCAAAGGCCAGAGCTTGGAGGAAACAAGTGCATTCCAGGAACTGAAGGAAGAGCAGTGGGTTGGAGCACAACATGGAAAGTCACTCAAGATGAGGTCGGAGGAGTAAGTGGGGCCGGATATGCAGGGCTTCATGGCCAAGGTGAGGATTTGGGTCTTCACGTTGCGAGCAATGGGAACCCATTGAAGGTTTTAAGTAGGGGAGTGACATAATCATTCAGACACTGAGGACATCTTCAACCTAGCGCTAGCCAACAAAAATATATGCCACATATGTCATTTAATATTTCGTAGTAGCCACATTAGGAAAAAGAAACAGATGACATTAATTTCGATAATATATTTAATTTAGCACAGTATATCCAAAATACCATTCCAACCTGTAATCAGTATTTAAAAATTATTAGCGGGATATTTTACATTCTCTGTTTTGTACTGTTGTTGTTAGTAACCATTGAGTCGATTCCAGCTCGTGGAGACCCTGTGTGTTACAGATAGAACCGCTCTGTAGAGTTCTCTTGGCTGTAATCCTTACAGAACAGATTGCCAGGCCTTTTCTTCCGCAGCTTTGCTGGGTGAGTTCAAAATGTCAACCTTTAAGTTAGTCGTGTGCAAACCACTTGTGCCACCTAGCAGCCTTTTGTTTTGTACTAAGTCTTGGAAATTCGGTGTGTAGTTTACCTGTACAGCATGTCTTAACTCAGACCAGCCACATTTCCGGTGCTGAGCATCCCCATGTGGTGAGTGACAGCTACCTTATTGGACAGCACAGGTCTCTACAAGTCTTATCATCTTCTGAGCTGGTGCCACAGTTTCCCATCCTTAAAATAACCCTCGGCCCTACAGTGCCCGCTAGCATTTACCTTCTCTCTCCATTCTATTCTCAACCAGGATAACTTGAAAAAAGTAAATGTTCTAAATGCAAGGTACTGTCTTCTTTTTCTTATCTTCCACTCCCTCCTCCTCGCTGTCTGTCTTCTACTCC